ATTTTGCACTAGAAATTATTAACCTTCGACATCGAAGCTCTAGTCTGACCAATTAAAGAGTATTATTAGTATATTACGGTACATCCCGACTTCGCCTAACAGTTTGCTCGAAACAAGGTTTTAAGCCTGATATGGTCAAACTACGGCCCGCAGGTCCGAATCCGGCCCGTTAGGTAACTCAATTTGGCCTGCCTCATCTTGCCACAACCTAACTAAAACTAAATTTTGATGTTTTAGTTGAAAAAAATAGCTCAAGGAATCTGTTTAGACTGCGATTAAATTTATTGCAAGGCTTACTGTTTTCCACTTTCGCCTTTGTGACACTGTTGATAAAATGGAACTTTTTACGTCACACTTACATGGCCCGCCAGTCTTAGTGGGCAAATTTTCTGGCCCCTGGTCCAAGAAACTTGCCTACCGCCCCTGTTTTAGGCCCTTTGAACAACTGCCTAGTTAAGATGTACTTTTTGAGTGGTTTCAAGCGCAAATATATAGGATGTCTATGAAGTCTCAATACAATTTAAAAACGATTAAATTGTAAGTATGAATTGTTTTAAAATCACAAAGTGAATTCATCGATCCATATATTGTTTTTGCCCCACAGTTGTAATAAATTATCATCACAAAAATTATTTATCACAAAATTATTTGAGGGATAATAACAGGAAAGTTCCATATTTCTAATACCACTGACCCATAGAAAATCACAACAAGTAGTTTAACTACAATACATTAAAATCAATGAGAGCTTAAAGATGTTGCGCAACATATAGACTTGCTATTCTTTATTATTTTATCTTTGATACCCTCTAGTTCTCATAAAATTCTAATTAAATCAAAATCTGGAAACTATAGTTTTCTCGGTTTTCTAAAATCCACGGTTTATATCAAACCTAAAAAACAGTTGTGTCAAGGGCTGGCCATTTCGGATCGAACATTTGAATCCAATAGTAAATTATTTGCATCAAGTCAGACAAAAATTTTCTTTATTGAAGTTTTATTTTTAAAATGCAATTCTGACATATGACTCTTTTCTACCTAGTGAGGTATTGATGGAAGGTGTTTCTTATTGTGGGTGCGCGCTCAGCTAACTGACTGAGTGTTGTATTTAGTGATTCATGTGTTGAAAATGTCAATTACGGCAGGGGTTTCGACCGGGGGGCCATAGCCCCCCCTAAAGAGGCACAGAGCAGTTGAAAAGGGCACAATGCTATGTGCAAAACTGATTTCACTTTTACAAGAAAACCTTCCGTTCTTCCATATTTAAGGGTATTTTACAGCGTGTTTTCACTTTGTTGAGCATGGGTTGTTTGAACCCAATAGGAATCGAAAGCTACCAATAAGAATAACAATATAAATGCAACTAAAATTTTAAACAGGGAGCCACGAGTGCTAAAAACCCCCGGTTATAAATCACTGCATTACAATGAATGAAAAGCAAATACAATTACATATCTCCCAAGCATTCAAGATTCAATTCGAAAAAAAAAATTGGATTTGATTCTAAAATGATCAGGTATCCGAAAATGCCCATCACTCCTCTTGACATGTACCACGTTACAAACAGTTGAAAATACGATTATTTTTCCTTTTTACCCCCGGTATTCCTGGTTTCACCATGAAGAAGGTTCTCTATGCAATCACTCGCCGTTGTTAGCATGTAGTATCGAAATACCCTAAGGTCCAGACCAGTGCTTGATCGGTCACTGAATTCGTTGTAACAATAATTTGAATAGCAGTTTTTTTCTGAAATTTATGCGTTTCAACTCACCTGCAACTACCAGAAAAGCTGTCCTAAACAAAGGCGCGGCCCGCGGCTTTACGCAGTTACTTGTATCAGGCCCTCCTGTAAAGTAGATTGCACAACCCTGCTTTAGACAACCTGCTACGATCAACACAACTATTCGGAAAACCCACCTTTCCATCTGAAGTATGAAACACCCTACGAACGACAGCTCGATGGGAAAAACGTCAGCCAACTAAACTAGCATTTGATTGGTCATCCGTGAGTGACGTTGAGTCGGTCCAAGGGAAGTCCCCGGGTACAACGCGAAGCCAGCTATCTCGTGACTTCAATTCAACGGGGTTATTTTACAACAGTAGTTCATTCTTATTAAAATTGAGGCATTTGCTTGAAGATTTTGCGTCAAAATAAATCAAAAACTAATTTTTATTTTTGCAGAATTTAAATGTGATACTCTTATTATACACATATCATTTAACAAAATTCCCTTTTCAAAATAATGGTAAATTTCATTGTGAAATTTCGTTTGGCCATTGCCTTCCTTCTTCAAGCATAAATAGATAGTAGTACGTCTAATAGTCTCTTAAATACAAGATTAGACCTTATATTCCTAAACTTGGTATCATACCGAAATATGGAACACAGTGTTTTTATATACTTCCGACTCTGAACAAGTATCTGCTTAAGCAACAACATCGAGGCAAACTGCTATTTTAGTTCGTAAAAAACGGAATCTTTCACGTTCGGCACAGCTAGTTTATTTCATCTCGCCATCTTTTCATTTGGAGGGGGAAGGAGGATTCCAAAATTAGGGAGTAGCAGATACTCTTCTATTAGTACTCTACTATTTGTAACTTATTGAAATATGTTATGTAGTTAACTGCGGTATACGCCGCTTTCTGGATATTCAAATACAATTACATTTAGTTTGGGAATGGAAGTGTAGTGTCACACCTTAAATGTTTTTTTTTTTTGCCTGAGTTAGGTGACAGACTTCGGATTTGAATCTGAAATTGTTGAACTGCGATACTAACATACAGTTAAGCTTTATGCTGTAACCGTATCTAGTGTTAAAAATGTTATAAACATGGGTGAGAAAAAGATAGTTTATAACAGAATTCATTTTTTTTCAATATTTCTACGAAGCGGGTCTATATATTTGTTATGGATATTTGCTTAAAGTCAAGCAACACTCACTCAGAAAATAAGAAAATATAGAGTGTACATAAAGTCTAGATTTTTTTTTAAATTGCAAAGGGAATTCATGGATACCATGTATTGCTCTGTCCCTCACAGATGTATTAAATAAAGTAAAAATATTTAACAATTACGGATTAAAAAACAACAAACCTGGTTAGGATATATTTAGAACTGACTTAATTACAAAATTGAAATTGTAAAGCGATTTATGGAAACCCTGTACATCTCTGTGAAACCTTATGGGCAAATACTAAAAAGCCAAGAGTATATGACACTATAAATAAGCCTGATAAGGGCAAACTGCGGCCGCGGGACAGATCCCACCTCACGTTGCCACAACCAACTAAAACCAAATTTTGGCCAAAAAAAACTCAAGAAAATTTTGAGATTGCGATTGTTTTAGTTTTGGCACGAGGGTTATTGTTTTCCACTTTGCTTTTGTAGCACTGTAAATATTGTTCATAAAATTTAACTTTTTACGTCACACTTACATATCCCGCAAGTTAAGATGGGTCCGCTTGATGCTGTCGCTTCCAAACTATAATCAAATTTTGATATTTTAATTAAATAAGGAATTTGTTGAGATTGCGATTAAATTCAGTTTTGGCAAGAAGCTCATTGTTCTCCACTTTTGATTTTGCAACACTGTAAATATTGTTAATAAACTAACTTTTTACGTTACTCCAACTTACATGGGCCGCCAATCTAGGTGGGCCATATTTTTGGCCCCTGGCCCAAAAACCTTGCCCACTTCTGGCTTATAGTATTATTACAAACACCTTGCATATGTGCTAATATGCAATTTGTCCATAAATTAGCGATATTATTTATATTTTTTCAAACAACATAAATGTGCTATCTATCGCTATGTTCAATACCTATGTTTGTCCAGTGACTTAATCATTAACTTTTCCTTTTAACAGTTTATAAGTTAAATAAGAAATACAAAGAACATGAAAATTTTAAACAAAATATCAAACTGGAGATTACCAAGGACGTCGACGCCCTTACACTCATCATGAATAATTCACTAACAACAAACTTATTAAAAAAATATTAAAGTGTTGAGGTGGTTAGCACAACGAGGTCAGCCGTCTTGTCGGCGAACGGCTACCGGAGTATTACCAAGCTCATTGTATGATTGTGCCACCTTATTCTCCGCTGCCTCAGGATAAATCATATCCTTTATCAAATGGATATATAAAGTATGAAGAATACTGGATTACGGAAAAGGATATATATATATAAAATAAAAGCTACAGCTAACAGGGCGGAGAAATTGTGAAGTCAGAAAAAAATGTAATCAGATTGACCCCGTGATTTGACCGGTCTTTGGATAGAAGAATTTGTTGCGAGAGAAATACTGTATTTATGGGGGTAAGTTTACCGATACTGTAAGATACCGTGTTTATTACAATTAGCCAACTGGTTTAGATACCAATATCACTTTATGGAGAGCTCAAGTATTGCTTTATAATATAATTGATAAGTTATCTTGCCAATGCGCCAATCTCGTAAAAATAAAAAATAAAACGCTAAGGTAAATAAGAAAGATACAACTCAGCTTTTCGACACCACCGAGGTCTGCTGGGCACTTGGATATAACACAAGAGAGCAACGCTCAAATATATGGACACGTGGACGAGAGCGAAGCAGTCTTTACCTTTGACGATACCGGTACCGTACCCTCAAAAAACCTCCGATTTTACAGTCGCAACAATTTTCGCAGTCAACCGTCACGCTTGACGGATTAAAAACCGTGTTCCCATAATTAAAAAGAAATACAGTGCGATTCTGGATGAAATATTAGATCTCATTAGATTCATAGAAAATTTAGGAATAAATAAAAGTAATAGCCTTCTGGCAAAAAAAATCAATCTTTAACCACTGAAACTTTCAAAGCAATTGGTCCAGTATTCGAAGAGAAAAGCGATTTTAAAATGATGAAGACGAAAATTAACAAGAACAACAACAAAATATTAAAACGATCGTTATGTCCACTATACGTATCCAATAAGCCAAGGTCGAATAAAATAAGTCCATATGAAACAAATACCTGTTTATAAGCGTGCTTGTTTCGTCGCGCGATTCAGCCGTCTAATTCATTTTCCTCTCCCGAAGCGAAAATCCTGTCATTTTAGTATAATTAGCAACAAATATAAACATATAAGTATGGTAATGTTAAAAAAAATAAACCGACGGTCCCTACCTATCCCGCAGCTATTTATGCTTTTTGATTTTGACTTACAGATGTATCCCCAATCTTCTTTCTGATCTGCCCACAGAAACTTCATTCAAAAGGGTTGGAATAGCCGGTGCCAACTCTCCTTATCTGGCGTTTAGTTTTGCTTGTCGCTTCCATGCTCGAGTGCATTTCCTGGTAAACAAATGACGAATTACAGTTGCCAAATGTGACTACACTTGGAAACTATATAAGCAATTACGTTATTTTTTCGCAGATTATTTTTTCAATACCCTCGTGACCGCATTTTTTCAGCCTTAAGTATCGAGGCGAGTAATAGGGCCATTACTCATTTTTTTTCAGTTTTGATATTTTCTTGATCATATAACTACATCGCAGTCTTGAACTGCTAAAGCACATGTCGCTGAACCACGCAGTAGCCCTAAATTGCTGTAATACCGTATTGGAATAAATACCATATAAATTGAAATAAAATGACTCGTTCTTAACTCACCATCAGTGGGACCTAGGTTAGTGTTTCCGCTTCAGACTCTGATGTTTGCGGTCGACTTGCATCGCGACACGGGTTTAGGAACCTCTACCTTTCTACCCAACAATGGCTACTTGACCCTTACCTGGCCCATTCCCGCCCCCAATTATATTTTTTGTTTTATTTGTCGACCATTAGGCTGTTAAATAAAAATCATCACATACGCCAGCAAGGCAGCGTGACGCAAAAATAGCGAAATTGACAACCACGACAAATATAGCGGTACTTTCAAAAATAAATAATGATTCCCACCTTTTCAGTTATTCCATTCCATTTGAATTCCAGCTGTAGTCACGGGTTCGTTTGCGAACATCTTACAGAAACTTTATTCAAAAGGACGAAACGCCTGGGCATCGGCACCCTTGATCATGTGTTCATCACGAATCATCACGAATAATGGGTTTTGTTGGTATTATGGTTTTCACGCTCGGTTACGCTCAAGGTGATTACGAAACATAATTGCCAACTATCGTCAGATATTTCTCGCTGATTGTTTCCTCGTGTTTTTGTTAGTAATATTAATGAGAGCCCCTTCTTGCTTTAATGTGCCTTAGACCAACAATAATACTTGCCTGTCCCTAATATTATATTTATCTAGTGCAGTGGTCGACAACCTACGGCCCGCGAACCGGATCCGGCCCGCGGAGTACTATGATCCGGCCCGCGACGTCTCACTGAATTATAGTAACAAAACAGGGGTTTTGACGATTATATTCTATAAGTGCAGACTAGAATATATTATAATCTAACAAGTATAAAATTCACAGTTACTCGTTTATTGAGCAAATAATTTAATTATAATTAGACAAATGGTACAAAAACGCAGAAAAGTTGATGCTAAATGCAAATGGTTCGAATGAGGAAATAAATCTATATTCTATTCGAGAGATGTATCACTGCTTCATTTTTATTATAAAAAGTATCATCCGTTCGGTTTTCAACTTTCTAGAAATATGTGCGGCCCGTCAATGTCTTGCAACCTTTAATTTTGGCCCGTGACCGACAAAAGGTTGCCGACCCCTGATCTAGTGCTATGGAGTCGCAGTGAGTTCACAATCGACTTTGGGTTAAAAATGGCTCCCGACTTCACCATGATGAAAGTTTCGTTCCCAACTCCAGATCCGAACTTCCAAAATTTCGAATCAAGCTTTGACGCAAGTCAGAAATCGATTGGGTGCTCCCGTGTATATGTACCAAGATGACGCACAACCTGAGCATGGTATGTGTACCAGGTTAGGGTTATCAGTTTGTTCGCCATCTGGGTACACATATTACGGAAGCGCCATCGATTGTTCTGTTGAACATTTTGATTTGTATTGGATTATCAACATTAAAAGTGCAATTTCTGACTTCATTGATAACATGTCAAACTCCAACCCCACAGGCCTGACAAATAAACCTGCATACATCTATAAGAACAGATCAGATTGTAACAATATTATTCATATTTATTGCAGGACGTCAGAGAATGCTACATCTTCAAAACTTTCTAGCGCAACAAGATGGAACATTCAGAAAATAGGCCTGCGCGAAAAGAATCGCCTTTTCTGTGAGATTTTCAACACCTTCAGTGGGAACAGATACTGGTAGCTGCTGGCCGGTTACGCTTTTCTCCCCCACTGAGTCTATGCATTTGTGACAAATAACTGCCTAACTAATCCCATACCCGACATGGACTGGTAAACGGACGAGAGGCTATGTGGTATGCTATATTATAATAGAATAAATATGACATCTTATCCTAACTTCAAGCAGTATTGCACTCAGCACAATACGAGGACCACAAAGAAATAATAATAACTAAAAGACCGAATCGAAATCCATGAACATCTACCATACATCACACAAGCTTGAGACCCGAAAGTTTATCATCCTGTTTTCACTCCTATATATTGACTCATTATTACAATGCTTTCAAGCTTTAAGCCCGGTTTGAGATTATGCCAGCATGTTTGCATTTATATTCATGTATTATCACTATGCTTACAAGCTGAAAGCCTGGTTAGACAGTATCTCATCGTGTTTCTCAGTTCTATTTGGTGCTCCAGCCAGAAGTGTGTGCACCGATATGGAGGTAACTAACTTTGTTCGTCTACTTTACATTAAGTTGTGTAAAGGGACGGAAGCCCAATAGAAGGGGGTATATTCATTTGGCTAACACAGACAGTCCCCGAACTCGTAACAAAACTAAAAAAAGGAAAATCAGAATACAATTATGACCTAACCCCAATCTGGTACACATACTACGGGAGTACCCTTTTGACAACACCTTTTACTTCTATACGCTTTAAACTCTGCATAAGATTTTTTTCGTCAACTATTAAATATTTTATCGTCTGTGATGCTGATGAGAGAGTCAAAATGAAATTAGTTTTGGTAACTTTTCCGAATTTTCGTCCCGCTTATTTGGTTTTGTGTGTTGTACGATTGCGGAGTTTGAAATAAATTATCTTTCTATCTACCTTTTAAATTACAAATGACATATCAAAACCAGCTTTGGTTCCCCCCGAACCCAGTAAAATTGTGTGTTCAGTTTTTATTACTCTCAATTTTGCATGCTATTTTTACTGTCTGAAGAAATAACTTAACAATGAATATCTGAAACCGACTTCCAAACAATAGTCGTAAATTATGTTCTGCATTTTTATTTAATCAGTATGTTATAATACATGATAAAAGCTTTCATGAAATCATCCGATAACTATATTTTATTGATCTAAAATCTAGTAAAACTAAAATCTCACGAAACTCCAATTCATTCAATTTTCTCTCGTGAAAATTTTTAAATTTTTGAGAAAACATTTCAAGAGTTTTTAAAGTATGATAGTTATAGTTTTCTAACTAAAAATAATCATTGATACTACATAATACAGATAATGTCGGTTGAAACTTACTTAAAATTTATGAATCAAAATCTTTCTTGATTTAAGAAATATATAAGTTCGTAAAATTTTAATCGGTTCAAAGTGTTTTAATAAGGTTGTCTATTATCTGCTGAGTTATCAGATTTTTATTTTTTGCGTGTTGAAAATTCAGAATAAAATGTACTGCAATGTCCAAATCGTCATTATTTTATTTTTGGTTATCAGATTAGCTTATTTATGGCATCATCACTCCAGGAGGTTGAGGTTGATCAACCGGTTGAGCAGCCATAATCTCAGGTCCTGGCATAGGGGCGTCTACAATAACAGGAGGTGGTGCCAGAATCTCGATTCCTCCAAGATCCACTGGAGGGCCCATATTTTTCTCTCCGTTTGGCTCATCACAGCTCGTACGGAGTTGACCACTTCTACTCTTTAAATCAGATGCTCCATATGATCTTGTAAAACAGTGCCGGATCGACATAGGTACCACATGATGGACACGGGATTTTCTGAGCATGGGGTTCGATGAGGACATAACTGGGTCATAATAATTGTAAAGCTCCATTATCTGCTCGTCAGTCAAAGGTTTGGACCACATGTCCAAAGATGAAACAAGTCCCTTCCAGTTACCTGTAATGGAAAAGTAAACTGTTTAATTTCCATTTTAAATGGTTTTTAAATTATTCCTCATCATTTAATTATATTAAGTTTTTTTTTGTCTAAAATTCTAAATTTTGTCATGTTTAAATCGATGTATATTCAATGTAACTATCAGTAGGGCTTATGCGAGACTAACTCCCAATCCTTCCTCAATGCCTTTGCGCTGGTGAATCCGTATGCATATATTACAAGGATGCTGTAGCAGGAATAAAAATCCCATACTATGCAATTCAAAAGTCCTGCTGCACACCAACACAAATGTATTTCTGTAATGTTTCGTCTGACGTTCATTCACTGTTTGGTCGCAATCAATGTTAGAATTTAATTTCAAACAAATTTATTTATCGCCGTATTCAAACCGCCAGATTGCTCTTCTCTAGTCCTTTCTGTAAACTGCTTGTCTGAGGAAGTCTGATTTTAATCGGACAAAACGTTACAGAAATAAACTTGTGTTAGTATGCAGCAGGACTCTATTAAATTGCATAGTATATTCAATGAGTTTGAAAAATTTAAGGGTGCTCCTGAAGTATGCGAACCAAGATGGCGGACATCAGAACGTAACATGGGTAACAGGCTAGGGTTAGGCGATAATTTTTTTCCAATTTTCCTTATTTTAGTCCTATTATCAGTTCGAAGACTAGCCAAGAGCCTCCCGTAGTATTTATACCTAAAATCATGGCCTAACCCTAACCTAGTAGACATATTACATTCCGATGTCCGCCATCTTGGTTCGCATACTTCGGGAGCCCCAATTTAAGTAAACAAGAAGAACAGGAACGACTTTAAACGCCGGGCCATCACGCCCACAAAAAAAATAAATCGAACCTCTATTTCTCCCTCCTCCGATGTGAGATCTTCCTATCTTGAGTGTGATATCAGATATCATCGGTTGGTTAGTTCGCTCACTGTGATGAGAAAACAATTGACACTTATGATGAGGCTATATAAATCTGAGTTACTTCACCAGGGGTTCAGGAATTATTTTTGGGGATATCAAAAGGTTGAATCAATGAGTTGGTTTAAAAAATACATTGTCAATGCTTATGTATTATTTGCTTATTATTTGCTAATGCAATACTAATTTGATTCAATATTTAGGTGCATCTAAATTAAATAACTGGTTAACTAACCCTGCACAGACTGGTAACAGACCGTGGTTCGCCACATGATTAAGTCGTCTTATCAGCGTACCCCACATCGGGTTAAATATGTAAATCCTATTTTAGCGTCAGATAGAAGAAATTAAAAATAAAACTTTGGATTTGCTATTTATACATGAGGATAATATTATTTTCCACAAACTATTGATATACATGAATTAATTTGTAGAAAATTACTAAATTTCATGTTTGTAAAATTTTGCACAATTTTTGACTCTAGTGTGAAATTGGGTAAATTCAGAAAAAAGGGACGCAAACTCAATAATGAGACTGCTTAATAATTATATGGCAAACTACAGCCTCACTTTATGCGAAGCATTTTGTGATACGCTAACAGTTAGACAAAGTTTTTGGAATCGTCTCCTAAATTTTTTGTCAAACTTCCTAATCGCTTATCAACTACTTACTTCCTAGTGCTCTTTCCCATCTTGATTCCATTGATAAACAAATCGGCACTTTTTTCTCCATTCAATCTTGCCGTTATCAAAGTCCATTCGTTTAGTCGGATATCGTAAGTATAGATGGATCGGACCATGTACTCATATCCATTAAGTCTTATCTTGAGCCAATATTGATCAACTCTGAAAAGATAAAACAAGATAAAGATTAGATAAGGGAGTAATTCAGATAATGCACTTATATTCTCAACATAGCACTGATAATCATTTACTATTATGAAGGAGGCTACCGGTGCTGTGTTGTAGTGCAATCGCGAGTGTGTTGGGTGAGCGAACACGTATCACTTTTGA